CTTACTTTCTAGGACCTAGTACAGAAGGAAAACACCCTGAACATAGATTACTGCCCCAAACCACTTACAGCTGCCTCTCTCAGGAGCCCTGAACACGAGTACAAATATAGCCTACTTACCATGCTATATATTTAAAAGTTATAAGCCAAGCTGGAAAACAATTAAATAAAATCTGATATATTCTCCTATCTTTACAAACCTACCTTCATAACAATCTGAAAACTAAGTTTACTTTAGAGTTCTCAGATTCCTAAGAGTTTCATGCCAAAATTTGGCAGAAGGCCACCAATCTAACTCTTCCTGTAACCAGCTCTCCCATCTAAAGGGAACCTCAGATGCAAAGTGTGAACATCTCATGATCAACTCCAAAACACTCCGTACCAACTGCCCCTTGGACCTAAGAGTATGCTCACCAACAGCCACAGTCTAACCTGAGGACAGGAACAGGTCCAAGTGGCCTTGAACCAGTATTGAAATCTGTGGAACAGAAAATTCCAGTCTCAGATATAGTCTAGAAGTGAGGAGGTAATAAGCTTGGTCCCAAGGACCGCTCACCCACTTGTTTGTGAGAAGTTGCAGAAGGGCAATCTAAAGACCGCTGAAATCAAGTCTTACCTGATTCTAATTAAGCATGATATGCATAAATTTAGCAATTCTTGTGATAATCCCACCTGCACAAGAAAATTGATACCCACAAAAGTACTGAAGTTGATATAGTGTGGCATTAAAAAAGTAATTCTATAAATAGAGGGTCTAGTTTCCTATAACAACAGAAACAAAGATGAATATAGCTCAAGTGCTGTTCTTTTTTTCCCACTCTATTACTATTTTAGGAACATTTCTATTCATGCCTGGTCTCTCTCATTCTCTCTCTTTCTCTCTCTGTCTCTCTCTCTCTCTCCTCTGTCCTTCCTTTCTTTCATTCTGCCCTCCCTCTTGATTTCTCACTTTTTGTTAAATCCGTATTTTTTGTGGATAAAAAAGTACAGGTAGAATTTGTATGTGACACTTTTAAGAAAGTTACACCTAAAATTACATTGGTCAAACACAGGAGGAATAATTCTGCTTATTGCAAGGTGGTTGTGATAGAATTGCTCAAATATTTTTGATTTCTGTGGTTCACATTTTGACACAATTGATCCTCCTGAATGAAAACTGAAAGATATCTTTCCTGACAAAAAGGGAAAGTAAAATATCATGCTTCACTTTGGCTTGTATGCATGAATGAGAGAAACTATTTAAAGTGCCTTGACTTCTGTAAAATTTCATTCTTCAAATCATGACACATGCCAGGTGCTGGTGGCTCACCCCTGTAATCTTAGCTACTCAGGAGGCAGAGATTAGGAGGATTGTGGTTCAAAGCCAGATTGGGCAAATACCTCTGCAAGACCCTATCTCAAAAAACCCTCCACAAAATAGGATTGGTGGGTGGCTCAAGGTGAAGGCCTTGAGTTCAAGCCCCAGTACGCCAAAAAAACAAACAAAAAAAAGACACACATCTATATGTATTGGTGTCACATTACTGGTTCAGTTATTTAGTTTCCATTTCACTAAATAGTGTTTGGAGGCAGGTAAAAAGAAAGGAGCTACTCAATACTCAAAGAACAGGCTGCCAAGGAAAGGGCTTGCAGCATTGGGTTAAAAATGCATAGGGAGTGGAACAATTAGTTTTATTCAACCCTTCACTCAGCCTTGAGAAAAAGTCACCAGTGTTAACAACTCCTGCTCACTTACAGATTGACTGCATTCTTTTAAAATATTATAAATTAAATGGTCTCAAAAGTTTACCTAGTCTAACTTGTTTGGTGAGCTATTTATCTAATATTGCACAATATGTGATTCTGTATAAAGTTTATGCCTTAGGGTGGTTTGTTATCACCATAGTAAGAGAACTTCAGGATTTCAGAAGATAACCAATTGATTCTCAATGAGAATAAAATGATCTTTGCAAAAGGAAAAAATGGTAATAAAAGAAAAGAAAGAAGGTACCACCCACCCACTATGAATGGAAGATAGGAGTTTTTACTTGTGTTACAAATAACATCAGTGGCACTTTACCCATTCACTCTCATTTCTTTATGCTGGTGATTGATTAGCTAAAATGTGTTTGCTAAAAAATTAACCAGAAGTGGTTTAGTATGGCCACAGAGGATGAAAGTAACTGGCCCATTTTCTTGGTCACTTCTGTCTGCTATAAAAATATACTATAGACTGCCTGGCTTAAACAGTAAGCATTTAGAGTCTAGGAATTCCAAGATCAAGGTGTTGGTACATTCAGTTCCCAGTGAAGGCCTGCTTTCTGGTTTGAGGTATCCATATCCATAAGTGACAGACAGCACAGTCAGAAGCAAGCTGTCTTGTGTCTTTTCTTATAAGGCCATTAATTCCATTCATGAAGGCTTTACTGTCATGACCTTCTTATCTCCCAGAGGCCACACTTCCTAGCACCATTTCATTGAAGATTAGGCTTCAACATACAAATTTTGGGGGAGAGCCTTTAATATACACATTTTTTTGGAGGAAGACAAACATTTGTGCTTAGTACCTAAAGAAGAGGATGTCAGTTTCACCTATAATGTCAATATCAATCATTTAGGGTTTCAGAAAAGACTGCTGAATGTCAATACACTTCTTATAAAAAGTTTAATCTTTGCATAAATACCTCATGTACATACACATCTATATCTGTATCCTATAGATAGATATCTGCATATGCAAACACACACTGTGTATAATTAAGTTATATACATTTCAAATGTACAGTTTATATTCATAACCATATGTAAAATCCTTTTCAAGGTTTTATAACTCAGCCACTAATTTTCCCCTATTTAGATAATCTCTAAGGCCCCCAATAGAATAGCAATCAGGAGCTGAACTAACTTGGAAGCTAGGATGATGTAGTTCTTGTAATGAATGGAAAAGGTGACCTGAGGACTGGTCATTTGTGTGCTCTGGATTGCAATCTAGAATGAGATAGACTTTCACTAACATTTAATTGTTAGGTAGGCAATTCTGTACATTTCTATCACTGATATGTTTAACATTTCAGTGAAGAATCACATTTATTAATGGGGACATGTCCTCACATATGAAGATACATAAATATGTAAGAGCTCTTATTTCAGGACTTGGTGTTTTTCCTCACATCATTTCCCTTCCTGGGCCAAATCACTGGAGTCATTTGTTATTTAGCTGTTGCTAAGTCTTACTGTGTGTTGTGTATGACCTTATGTGCACAGATGTAGCAGTTAACAAGAGTAACAGGTTTCTTTCATGAGAATGCGAGGGGGTAAGAGAGACTGGAGGAGTGGTGAGAGTCAATAATAGGCAATAAACAGGGAAATAACATAATTTCAGACTTAGTCCAGTGAAGAAGTTAAAATACCCTTCTCTTCCCATCTGTACCTTCTTGCCATCCCCAACTTATCTCTTAAAGACCTGATAGCCTCCTCCACCCAATCCTCCTTCTGTGAAATGGTTGATTCTACCTCTACTTCTATCATGCTGCTTTATTATTTATTTCTTTACCTGTCTTATCTTTCTCAACTAGACTTTAAGGCTCTTTGGAGTAAAGGTCAAATTTGCTTTCTTAATTATTTTTTAGTTGTGATTCTTGGGACATATTCTATTTTGCTCACCATTGTAACTCTCAAGACACAGCATATAACATAGATAAATGTCAATTAATTGAACAACATTTTGTGGTAAGTATCATCAGTCTCACATTCACAAACAGGGAATTTGAGGTTCAGCAATTTTAAGTAATGTCTTCAGAGGCTTGTTGGTAGCAAGTTGAAGAGCCTGGATTGAAAACCAAATGTGTATGACGCTAAAGTTCACATTCTTTCCAATATCACCTTGAGAGAAATTAAATTCAAAGATCAAATATCATCCATCCCTCATTAAAAAAAAATCTTTCATGAAGATAATTTTTTCTGTGACTTAATGCTGAACTCTGCAGAATTTTTTAAAGCATTAGCTCCTGGTTACAATTTTTAGAGATTTAATTTAAATGTGTTTAACTTATATCACTTAATTAATTTGCATAACCAAGTCTAAGCTCATTTTTGAGGAAAGCAATCTGCTAAATGCCAGCAGATTGTCCCATTGGTCTTTCTAATGTCATTACAGTTTTTAAGTCCAGAATGACAGCTCACAGAGGGATGAGGGCGGTTCAAACACACATTGTGCTCAAAGCAGGACAGGCAGGATCTGGAGGATCACATGACAAGTGCTGACACTGTCACCATTAGAACGAAGTTTTACTAGAGCAAATGACCTTTCAGAGAGAGGGTAGATGGGAAGAGATAGAAATTCAGAGCCTGAGGTAGAGGGCATATTCTAATAACTGTGCCAAATTACCTTACAACCATCACAAAATAAACTGAAGCTATTTCCTCAAAAATCATTGAACATCAAAACCTGCTAAACATCTCTTACCATATTTGGGTATTATTCAATTCACTCTAAGGGAATGATCACCAAAGTGATTTTCAGCAAATCCTGTTATACCATCTGGTTGACTATAACATTACTTACTTTTCACAAACATGATTGTAGATTCACATCCTTATTTAAAATAACCATAATCACAGTTCAGTACAATTACCTAGATAGATCTCATGGTGTGACATCTTGCATCTGCCTATTGAGATAAACTATCTTGTGTAGGTTTCTAAATCATTTGCTTTCTACTTATTCCTACTTTTTAAGTTGGGAGGGGAAGAGAAAAGAAAGAGGAGGGTAAGAAAAAACATCACCCTTACCAGAGAAAAGGTAGCAATATTAATTCAGAGTTGGCTTTTAGTTATTGATCTGCATAACCTTCCCTATAACTTATGAGTCACATTTAACTTCATTTTTCTTCTTCAGTGGGAAGGAGAAGTATATTTGCTTTTTTCCTCTGCCTTAACTGTTTTTTTTTTTTTTACAAATGGGATAGCAAAAACAGAGCTGGGAGTGCGGCAATCCAGGGCAAGTGATTTCTCTTTGGTTACCTTGTAATTTCTGGTTGTATTCGGTCCTATCAGATTGGCTCCTCCTCAAGGTACCAGAGTGGTCCCCAGAAACACTGCTGTCCACCACAGTGTCTGTCTTCCTTCTCTCCAGCATGTACAATCGGGGTCTCAAGAAAGTCAGATTCTTCTTCTTGGTGCCCATGTTTTCTTTCCCAGTGGTTTCTTTGGATTCCATGTGAGACAAAGACAAGCTTCAGGGGTTTGCTAGCAATGCTCCTTGCTGGTGCCTCAGGGTGTAAGTTAAAGCCACTGGAGTGTGGAATTTAACTGTCCCTTTCTAACTAACCTGCTTCACTTGCAGGTTTACCTAGCTGCCACAGCCACCTCTTTGGAGTCCCAGAGCTCCACCCCTATGAGGTCATCCTTTTTTAATACCTAGAATCTAACAGGGGAAGCTGCCACCTGTTACCCAAGAGACCTGCAGCACTGAGCTAGGCAAAGCAGGGACTGTGCTGTCACATGCTACTGAAGCAAACAAAAATCCCATTGTGTGGGGTAAAGACTGGGGGTAGGGGAAAAGGAAAGTGAACAAGGTGAGGCAGGAGGAAGGTAAGGACTCATTAGCATAACCAGCAGCTTATAGGTTGAACTGGTGCCTAAGGGTGTGTACAGGTGCACTGGGGACTCTGTTGTGGTCTGCTGCCTGGAGGCAGATTAAAGCATGAGGTGACTTCTAGCTAGAGTCACGCACCTGTGACCCAGGGAGTTGGTATGTGGCTGTGAGAATGTGTGTTAGCCACACAACAATGAGGACAAATCAGTTTTAATTTTTAACTATGTGCACTAAAATACTTCTATCTTTAAACACCAAGCATTTGGGGATTATTTACTAAAAATATATGTGCCAAACCCCAGCATTCCTGAGAAAATGAGGATTCACAGTTAAGAGGTTCAGCAGCAGGCTCAGGAAACAGAGCATAACACCCAGAGAGGCCTAGAATCTTTTCAATTCCTTATTTTGCTTATGCTACCTGTGCCTGAAATCAGTCCTTTCTGGGCCCTCACCCTGTCCTTCTGTGTCTTGGTCCTTAGGAAAATAAGCACAGAGTCAGGGTTTGATTTTATTAAGTTTTTCCCCTGTATCTGTCACAGATGGAGTGCCACAAAAGGGCAGCTCACTTGGGGAAAATAAGAGGAGGAAAAATGTTTCAAATTGAGGAGGCACATAGAAAACAGAAAAGACAGGGGCAAGGTTGAGAGAGACAGGTAAATGGTGGTGAGCCTTTCATTAATTTTTCTGAAGTTGTTTTTTCTTGTATTTATGAAGATCTCTCCAGGGAGAGATCTCTCAGAAGCTCTGGGAATGTGAGGAGTGTTTTGTATGCCCTCGTTAAGGAAGAAAATAGATTCTCTTGTATTGTAAAAAGACAGTCAAAATTCAGCTTAGATTCAGCCCATTCTGAAAATTCAACCCATTCTGAATCTTATTAACTCCTGTTAGACAAGATTTATAAATAAGGAAAAAGATGTAAAAACCATTTTCCCAACCCAGGATGTGTAGGCTGGATGCAATTTGCATAATTACATCAAAAGATAAATGACAAATATCCACCCACCATATAGACATCTATATATAGCTTGGCATATTGAATGCTTTTATTTAATATAATTGATAGCTTTTTTAAAAAACGAGCCCTCCTAAGTACATTTAATAAATACCTTTAAAGCCATATTCACCTCTAAGATGTAAAATGAGCTTTTTTATTTATGTTAGAAAGTCTCAATTATTTTCTAATATTACATATATATGTATATGCATATACTCGCCTAGTAACTGTGAGAATTATACTATTTAGTATAATCTTACCACTGCAAAATTGCACAATTAAGACTACTCTGTATAGCTATCTTTATCTCAAATTAGCAAAAATGCTGTCTTTCTTACTATCGCTTATGTCTCCTCTTCAACAAAACTGGAGAAGAGGGCAGAACAGGTTCTGCCTGGAAGTGAGGGGGGTGGGGGGAGGAGGAAGGGGGCGGGCGGGCAGGGAGGAAGATGGCCCAAACAATGTATGCACATATGAATAAATGAATAAACAATAAAAAAAGGGGAAAAAAGACTAACAAGACTTATGGGAAAAAGGAAGTTTAAGGACACAACTCTCCAAAATTTTGTCAGTGTCCCATAAAAAGCAGATAGAAACCTAATAAAACTAGATAGAAACCACTTATCATGGTTTACACATTAAAAATATTAAAAATATTTGGGAAATACACAAATACTAAATAAATATGACCCTTTATCATGAAAAAGGCCAGGCATTTTGCTTGTGGACATGCACCTCAGGAAGGGTGCACTGTATGAGTTGCTGAGAAATGGTAGCAGGAACTGATAACACCAGATATGGGTGAGGGCAGTTTATAACATGGACAGTGAGGAGAGGTCACTGGTAACATTTGAAAGGTATTCTTGTGAATTTTGTGTGTTCCTATGTGATCAGGTTATCTAGATACATGCTTCTAGTGGACAGATTCACACATAAACAATTGTAAAATTGTTTTACATTCAAATAGTTCCCTAATACATCAATCTTATTGACATAAGTTTGTATTTTTAAAACAAACTTTATGGCAGGACTTCTAGTAATTTTATTTTTTTTAATTTCAACAATTGTGACAACGCATAGCATTTACTACTATGAATTTGATGGTAAATACATATTTTATTTGTTAACAATAGTTTCTATGTAACTTAAAAATGATACTGATATAAAGTCTTTGAAAACTATTGCTATGGTTTAATCTGAGATGCCTTTAAAGGCTCACATGTTGGGGACTTGGTTGCCAGCTCCTGGCTTTTGGGAAGTGACTGGAACCTGAGGGCTCTGACCTCATCAGTAGATTAATTCCTTGATGGATCTCTAACATAATGGCATTTTTGTGAGGTGGTGGGAAGTAGGAGGTAGAGACTGGTTTGGAGGAAGTAAGTCACTGGGCATATGTTCTAGAAAGATGTATCTTGTTCCTTGCTTTTTCTCTTTTGTTAACTTCCTGGCTGTCATGAGCTGAGTAGCTCTACTCTACTATACCCTCTGCTATGATGCTCTGCCTCTCTACAGGCCCAGAAGCAGTGGAGGCAATCAGTTTGGACTAAAACCATAAGCCAAAGTAACTTTCCTCTTTTTAGTTGTTTTTCTTAGGTATGCTGTCCCAGAAACAAAAACTACCTTTTATTCAGTCAATGAATGGGAAGATATTTTTGATTTTTGACTCAGTCTTCAGCAGCAGAGCCCTTATTTTGTTCTGCAGCATCTGGCTTGGCAAATCAATGCTCATTTTCCCCTCTTTTTCCAGTCTTTCCTAAAGCAAAGCGTGGCCATGTAATCTCAGTCTTGGCAAATGGGACCTCAGTGGTAGCCTGCCAGATGGAGGGGCAGGATATTAATTCTGAGAAAGCTTTGGTTCACCAAAAAAGATGCAGGTACAGCTGACTTCAGCATTTCCCCTTCCTCCAGACTTGATCCTAAGTGTGATGCGTGGAGCAGTCATGTCATCCTATGTCTATTAGAAAAGCCAGAGATCCATGTACTGTAATATCATTACGCTTCTGAATCAACATCAGGGCCATCCACTTCTAGACTTCTTGCTATTAGAGTATTTTAAAAAATTCCCTTCTTTAGACCATCGTGGGAGTTCTTGTGGATATATTTCAATGGTCTTAAAAGATAGTGTATGGTATGCACATAGAATTACAGCTCTCTTGCTTATCTCTTTGATATTTCTTATGCATTTAGTATCTCCAGCATAAAACATGGGTTAGTTTTTCTGAAAATGAAAGCAGCCAGGTCAGAGAAATTTTGAATGGGCATCTTAGTAGTACATCAGCAAGGCAAGAGGAACAAGACCTCTAATCCATCTAGGCTTTATATTTTTTGGCAAAGTTAAAAAGGATTTCAATATAGGGAGTTTATATTACTTGAATAAAATATTGATGTTGAGATATTTAAATGTAATTTATTTGGAACAGGGAACAAGAAGTCCTGGTTCATTATTAGAAAAAGCACCGAACAATGAATCCAAGACTCAGTTTTACTCTTGGATAAGATAGTAATCAGCTCTGTGATATTAAAACTGACACAATCTCTTTAGGTCCCAATTTCTTCACCAGTAAAATACAAGGGAGAGTTAGTCATTCATGCTATTCACTGGTGTTTTGGGTTCATCATTTATGCCCACGGGAGTATGTCACTGTCCTGTGCTCTTTCAATTTATCCTTGCTTATACAACTTTTTTGGTCAAAGAAATAGATTGAAAGTGGAATATATCACTCCTGGATAAAATATTACGAACACAGTGTGGTTTGCCATGGCTTTGCATCCTCATCCATGAGGACTAGCTAGGGACAGCTCCACCTGGATGAATCCTGGAATTTAGATGACAAGAGCAGGGCCCCAGCCACTCTACAATGTGATATCACTTGAGCATGAAGTTATCCTCTGCTGTTTGAAGTTACTAGTTTTGGGTTTTTTAAAAAGTAATTATTACTGTAGCAAAACCTAGAATACACTTACAAACTCAGGGTGAAGGTTAATTTACGTGTAAATCTTTTAGGTCTAGCATTATGTGATTTCAGGAGTTTTAGGTTGTAAAACTACTAGTTCCAAAACAGAAATAATGTTGCTTGAATAATGTTGTGAATAAATTGGATTGAATGAAGGAAAGAGTAAAATGAACTTATATAAAAATCCAGGGAAGAAAACCTTGGACTAGAGTAGTGGTGGCAGGGACGGAAGAAGGTTGATGAATTCAAAATACATTCTAAAAGTTGAATGAACAGAGTTTGCAGCTGATTTGATGGAGGTGGATGAATAAAAAGAGAAATGAATCCCAGGTTTTAAAACTGAATGCCTGTGAGGACATTAGTGCTATACACTCTACAAAAAGAAGGAAGGACTAGAGGAAAAGGAAATTTGGTGGAGTTGCCAAGAATTCTGTTTAGGATGCAATAAGATTAAGGTGCATGTAAAATATGCAAGGGAAGTGTCACATCCACTTTGGATTTATAAATTTAAAGTCACTATTTATAGTTTAGATTTTTAAAATTGGAATTCATTGAACTATACACAGTATTTAAAGCTATGTATTGAGGAGATCATTAAGGAAGAAAATACATTCCGAAGAGAAAGAGCAAAATCAAGTTGGGAAGATTTCTAAGTTCAGAGATAGGTTAAAGAAAAACCAGCATAAAAATAAGGAAAACTTTTGAGATAGAAGTAAAGCAGTAGAATGAGGCTTCAAAGAAGTCTAGAAGCAAGTTTCTTCAAAGTGAAGGGTTAAGAGGTCTGCTAAAGATCAAATAAAGTGGAT